CCGAGACCTTGCTTAAGCGGCATCAAACTGCTTATCACTTGAGTCAATTCATGTTGATGCTATCTGGTCGTAGTTATTATCATAACCTACTGCATTTTGAACTATTTGCAAAGATGTATACAAATTCATGAATTCTTTTTATTTTTTCTTTTCATTTATATGAGACGTGCATTTGAAATCATTCGACAAATTGCAAAAATCGCGGTAAAATACCTTTAAATATGATATTATTTGAAGAAATAATTGTCCATGTAGAGAAATGTGAAGCAAATATAATTATCCTAAGAAGAAAAAAAAAAAATGAAATGGAAAGTCCAATTATCAATAATTTATTGAGAAAATTTTGGCCCCTTTTGGCTCTATTTTGTCTTGGTTCAGTGATTGTCAATGTCTTCTTATTCATATAAATTTCCACAGTAGAAAGTTTTCAACAAGCCTTGGAAAATGGGAAAAGATTGAGAATCTTTCTCTATTTTTTTTCCTTTTTTGTTGATCTTTTTATTTTAATTGATTTTATTTTTAAATTTTCACAGCCATCATTGCCGTGCTCGGTGAGAATTTTTTGTGAGTGATGTTAAAATAAGCAAATATGGACTTCAATGCTCGTTTAATAAACGAGTCGAAAACTCAGCTGCAGCTCCACTCGTTTAAGCTCGTGGAATCTCGACTCGAATCAGCTCCTTGTTTAATAAATTTAAAGCGTTAAAGGAAAAATGTTTGTTCGCAAACAAATTCGACTTGGTTTGATATAAAAAAAAAGGAGCTCGATTAGTTATTCAAACTCCACACACATTGTTTTACTTACTAATTGAAAAAAGCTATCCATTAAATTTCCCAAATAAAGCTACACAATTCTATAAAGTGATGGAGATGGTAAAAGTAAGTCGTTTTTGTTACGAAGCCAACAGTTGGCTTCATAGTGGAGCCAGCCAACCTTCTATATACAAAAAGTAATATAGAAGGTTGACTCCATATTCCCTGATTATTTAAATAACACTAATATAATTTTATTAAATAGTATAGTTTACTTGTTGTATATAGAAAATTGACTCCACTATAGAGCTAACTGTTGACTTCATAGCAAAACCGAAAAAGTGGAAGATAACATGTGAAATTAATAGTTCACATACATATGATTTTTTTCTCCTTTAACTTTCTGGGCATTTTTCCTTTTATTTTTCCCTTTAATGATGGCAAATTATGATTTTTTGATGTGATTATTTCACCATTTTTTTTTCCACCGTCATGCTTAACCTAATAAACTCATTTAAATGAGAGGCCTAATATATATTAAAAATGTTGTATGCACCGAATTTCTCGGCTGATCACATGGCAAGTTTAGCGATCTCATACCCGTTGGGCCTGCACCGAGTTTTAAGTATTCCTACAGGGCTGGGCGAGTGGCTTCAACACGATAACATTGGGGTTTCCTACCCCTGACGGGTTCTAGTTTAGGCATTTTGGCCTCCTTTATTGTACCAAAAAAAAAATGTTGTATGCAAAGTTTTACACAACTGGTTTTGAATTACACAAAGCATATAATGTTAAATCATATGTAGCATTCATTCATGTCCAAAATTTTGACACAAAACCCACAAATCCTTGGCACTGAAATCAAATCATCATCAATCAACATGCAACATCATTTGATTTGGCATTGCAAGTATGTCTATATTTATACATAGGGTTGCTCATCGAAACCGATCCGAAACGACCGAAAAATCGATTTATCCATTATAAGAACCAAAAACCGAAACGAGACTTGTAGTTCGAATCGGTTTTTAACCAAAAATTTAAAGGTCAATTCGGTTAGATTATCGGATAATCGCATAAATAATTAATCCTCTCAATAAAATTTCAATTTTTTAACTGAACCAAAAACTTTAGTTTTTATCCGAAACAAAAAAAAAACTAATTTTTTATCACCTTGTTTAATCTTCTCAATAAATTTCAAATTCTCCTCTAAAGGAAGATCTCGAAACCGAAGCCGATCTTGAATGCAAATTAATGTTTGAGCCATTTTACGAATCATTGAAACAAATTATTGTTTATATATATTTATGTGTGTGCATAAATCAATTTTTGAATCGAATCGGTTAACCGATTACTATTATCCAAACCGGACTAAAAACTGAAATTTTAAAAATGTAAGCCAAAAACGACCAAATATTCATTTACGGTTTCGGTCCGAACCGTTTCGGTCGGTTCGACTCAGTTACCCGAATTTAGTGCATCCCTAAACATATGTATACATAAATAAAAACAATTTGCCCCAAACTGTAACACCCCACTTTGATTTTAAAGAAATTCCAGACTTTAAAAAAAATCAGTGTAAAATTTTCAAAATCATTTTAAAAAATTCAATGGGTATTA